TTGGACCTGCATTGATGTAAATGAGCTTTGAGCAGAGGTGTGAATGATGTAGTTATTTACACATAACTACCATGGCGCACACGCATTTACTGCTAAAGGTTGATAGTTGTAGTTTACTTATTTTCCTTATTGGCTAGAATGTCATGTGAAAATGTCATTAGGCCGACCTGCTGTCTTTAATATGACGTAAAGAGGCAGAATAACAATAAATGTATCTTAAATAAACACAATTTAAAATCCAACAGAACCAAACCTAAGTTTTATAATCAACTGAAATTTTATAGTGAATTTTAACATCACTAAATATATCGGCTTTTATATAGGCTATCAGCATCTCTAACTCCTGTTTTATAGGTATCATATCGATCGATAACATCTCCATGGAGAAAAACATTTGACAGACCCTCCACCAGAAAAGTTACACAATGCACATTTAAGTTAAAAGTGGTGTCATGATTATATTTACAGTTCAAACTTGATATTATTATTATTATTATACTTGTTCTGATGCAGCTCAAGATCATTTTAAAGACATTCTGAAAACATTCATTTCTCTCCTGTGAGTTTTTAGTATCATACCTGCTCAAACGAGTATCTAGTTTCAATACCAGTTTTACGTATCTCAGTACTTTTTCATTTTCCCCCAAAACATCCCAACTCTCAGGGAAACAAGGAAACATGCAATTATGACTTAATTTTTGACCTGACCCAGAAGACACTAAAATAAGGAAGCAAACATCACCATCACCATATGTTGTTTACTGAGTGCATGTTGTTTTGGTTGCTATGACACAACAGCGATGTTAACTCAATTTCACTGTAATCTGCTTAGAGCCATCTTCGACCCAGGCACAGCACGTCTCTGTCTCTGCCTGTGAATATTTGGTTAAAGCTGGGAGATAAGCCAAACGCAAATACTACAGAAATTTGGAATGTTTTGTGCAATTGGAATAATATAGAGGTATGACAACAGACAAGGCAACAATGGTGATAGTAATGGTTAGGTAACAAGGCAATAGGGCTGTCAAAAGTATTGAAAAGAGGATACGAATCGATACTAAAGCTAATATCGAAACTAGACACAAATTTTTCGCAGGTATCAATACTACAATGAGCTCTCTCAGAACAAGTATAAGAGCAGATAGACTAGTATACATCCATGGACCACTACGGAAACTACCTGGACCACTGGAATAAAAAAGAAAGTACTGCGATTTAATGTTGAAAATTACGTCCTATTGTCTAGTCCATCTGAAAATTGTCAACTTCACTGTGAATTTAAAGCTCCAATATTACACAAAATGGACTCTTGTGAGCTTTAAGCCATGTTATAATGTTGTTTCCTCCTCAAAAACAAACCTGGAGTTGTGTTTTGTTTCATCCACACATGTTTGAGTAACCCTCTATTATTAGTCTGTCAACATCTGCAAAGCTCAACATGCTCTGTTCCACTTTGTGATGTCATGAAGCTGTAGTTTTCAAGTTAATAGCTACAATTCGCTTTTAGTTCAGTATAAATTGGCAATTCCAAGGCTGAAATTATCAAAATGATTCTAGTGAAGGTGTATGGAGTATAAAAAATAAGAGAAACACTTCCTGTACTAAAACATGACATCACAAGGTTGAAAAGTGTTTTCAGCCTTAGAGAAGAACACAGCCTAAATATGCATCAATGAATGAAACAAAACACGACTCCAGGTCTGTTTGTGATGAGGAAACAACATTAGAAGAGTCAATTTTGTGTACTATAGGACATTTAAATTAACAGTTAACAGTGAAGTTGACAATTATAGAACATATAGTAGATCAGAAAATAGCATAATACCACAATACTTTAACCACAACTTTAATCCAAATACTGAACAGATGAGAAAATATTCCAAATGTTGTTCCTTCTACTACCACTATAGTAAAGGTCACTTACATAATGACCCATAAAGTTGTGAATGAGCAGCGAGGGACCAAGAGGGCGGGGCCACGGACACACCCCAAACCTAGACCCAAAGTACAGCCAATGGAAAGAAAGCATAATAAAATACAAACTTTCTGAGTAAAGCCTTAAAAGTAGCCAGTGTGGACTGAAGCTGAGAAAGAAACAAGCTACGTGTATTCTCATTTGAATAGACTACTTTAGTTTGTTTTCATTGGTTTCAGTTTCAGAACTCCAGATGAACCTCACTGGACAAACAAAATTCTTAGTCGACTAAAAAGGGGGCTTGGCAAAAACTCCCCAAACTATTAAATATCTGTATAATCTCACCATGTGTCTGACCAAAACTTCACTCAGAAGACTACACCTGCAGAGTTCGTGCAAAAACTAATATTTAAATGGAAACTAGTGAGAAACATGCAGATGAAACTTGTGATTCACTTCCAAATATTTAGCTAATTCATTTCCTTCGTGCTGCAGCTGTTGACTGTTGACTAAATCCTGATAATCTAAATAACATGATTTGTAGACTAATACTTTTAGTCAACGGCCCTAACAGGTATAAGGGGATTTTCAGACCATTGGTGTCTCAAACAGGACAATAAAGATGACTCAAACATGCACGAAGGACTCAAAATGCAACTTTCACTGTTAATGAGGGGAAAACATCTTAAAAGCAGATTTAGCATAATATTTATGTCTTCATTAACTTTTAACAGGCTAAAAGTGAGAAAGATACAAGCTATGTGCATCACCACAATTGTAAGTAAATAAGGAGGCGCATAGGTAAGGAGGCAGTTCATTCCAGAGTTTAGGGGAGACGGTTTGAAAGGATCTGTCGCCTCGCGTTTTAAAACTTGTCCAAGCAACTATTAGTAGGGTTTGGCTGGTGGACCTCAGGCTACGGGCAGAGGTGTATGGCTTTATCTAATCTGTGATGTAAGCAGGAGCCTGGCCATGTAGGTCCCTAAAGGTCAGCGCTAGGTTCTTAAAGTGACCACGAAAAAGAACGGTGAGCCAATGTAAGGATTTTAAGATCGGAGTGATATGAGCTCTCCTACTGGTGTGCGTCAGAAGCCTTGCGACAGAGTTTTGGATCATTTTCAGCCGGGTAAGTTCCTTCTTGCTCAGACAGGTAAACAGACAGTTACAATATAGTCTAGTTTTGAGGACACAAATGCATGGATTATTATCTTTAACTCTAACTCAGCTTCAGAAATCATCGTGTGAAGTTTAGATATGTTTCACAGTTGGAAAAAGCAGTTTTTAATGAGTTGCTTAGAGTGGTATAATACACAGCAGAGGGTGTGTATAGGGGGTAAATGAAAACAGCATTTTTCTGACCAATGGTGTCTCAAATAGGACAATAAATAGTATTCAAAAATGCCAGAAGTGCTTAAGTGCAACTTTCACTGGTACTGAATGAGTCTTAAAGATCTTAGGAGCAAATTTAGCATAATATGTCTTCTTTTACTAGTAATAGACTAAAAGTGAGAAAGTCACAAGCTACCTGTATCACTATGGTACAGAGCAGTGGGCGTGTATAGGGGGTAGGTGAAATTAGGATTTCTCCGAGCAATGGTGTCCAAAATAGGACAATAAATATTACGCAAACATACACAAAGCACTCAAAATGCAACTTTCACTATTAATAAGAAGAAAAACTTGGAAAAAGCAGATTTTGCATAATATATCTTCTTTAACTTTGAACAGGCTAAAAGTGAGAACATCTAAATGTCACAATCCCAAGTTCAAATGTAGTTCAAGTATTACAACATAGAAAGTCACTTGAATTTTGCATGACCAAATCACATGTGAAATAAATATCAGAAAAGAGGAACAATTAATCACATTTTGAAAATTAGTTGAAACATGTGTATCCATACATTTAATTTACATGATTGTGAGGTGGAAAAGTCGAGGAGTTATTCATTCAGTGGGTGTGCCTCATGTCGCGCCCTTCTCCCTTCTTCAAACTAGAGCCCAGAGAATCCAATAGAGCTGAAGCCATTACATCATCTCAAATCACATATTAGAGGAAATGGACAATGGATTTTTCTTTTGACAGGCAAACAATATATAAAACAGTCCTTAAAGGTGTATTTACTTTTGAGATGTACTTGGATTGTCAGAAATCGGACACTAATCAATACTAAAACTATCAAAACTAGATACTAACCCATGGAACTGACCTGGATCACAGATATAAGACCACATGGGAATAAATCAAGAAAGTATACTACAATTTAATGTTGAAAATCACATTCTATTCTCTAAAGAAAAAGTGTTTTTATTATCACAGTGATATCAGAATCTGTATAATAGTAGAAGTTCAATTGCAACAAGTTGTGTAGGAAATCATAACATGCATGATATGACGGTATATAGAAAAAACACTTATAGTTACTGGAAAGTCTATGTGTTTTGTGGGCTTCACTGTTGTTTTTGCATCAATAGCCTACTAAGAATTCTATTGGTAAATGCCCTGATACAAATGTAAATGTAGTAGTAGCCTACATTATTATACCAATCCTGTGTGAGTCTACACTTCTTTCTACTCCTTTTCATTCACATTGATTTAAGTATGAAACAACATTTTTATATTCATCTTTCATGACTCAAACAAATAAATAAAAAATAAAATAAAAAAACATCAAATTAAAATGCACTGCTTTTTTTTTTCTTTTTTTTTTTTTTACGTAATAACGTCGGTAAGACGTAAAGGTCCTGACATTGATCTGTATAGCAGCTATTCAGAAAAGAAAACAATTTGGAAAAATAAAAAATAAAAAAATCAAGCTTTATCAACAATTAAAAAAAATAAAATGTTATTTTTTGTGTTCAAAGGTAATGAATGAGTTTTTAAAATACGATCATGCCCGGCATTGCATTTTCACAACAAAATATCTGTATCTCCACGCGACTCTTGCCTGAGGCGCAGCAGGCAGTAGACGCAACAAGTGCTAGCAAGAAAATACCAAATTCTTATCTCAACTTTGCATGGAAATATTGAAATTAAAAGTCAAAAATTGACATACAACTACAAATATGAGTTTTAAAAGTGCATTACCTTCTAGTTTTTGCTTGTTTTGCGTTCACTTCGGTCTTGCTCCGCGCAGAACCTCGTCTCCTTGGAGGAAAGCGTGGATTGTCTCTAAAACATCGCCCGCTGAGGAATATTAGCGGGTTCGGAGGGGCAGGTCCCGCCCAGAAAACAGAATTAGGAGTTTCATGTCGGGGCTGCGGGGCTGTGGTGAGTCCCGTTACTCACATCTGTCCGGGGCAGGGCCTGGGTCGGTCCTCCTCCCCCGCGCGTAACAGACGGAGGACCGCAGCGCCATAACGGGACACGCCCATAGCCACTGTAGAGAAGCCCAGCGCGGTGGTTCTCCAACTTTCACCACCTAAGAAAATATTTGGGCTTCAGAGTACAACCAGAACCAGTGGTGGAATGTAATTAAGTGAAAGTGGCAAAATAGTGTAGCCTACTTAAGTACAAATTTTAGATATCTGTAGTGTGTTCTGTGATGTAATGAAAGGTGCACTGTGTAACTTTTTGGACAGGTTCTGCAACCTGTTTTGTCTCCATTGCTCACAGTATGGCTTTAAACTGATCTGTCAACTACAGGTGTTTTTATTGCTCAAAAATATGTGAGAAAACATGAATTCTATCCACAAATCTAACCTGTAATGTGGCTTGCAAGTCTCCATGGAGATTCTTACTCTGTGGCAATACTGTGGAACAATCTAGGCACATCTTCATGAAGAAAAGGGGGTGACGGACAAGTAGCAGACAAGTTACACAGTGCACCTTAGCATACATTTTACAGAGGATGCTTTTTAAGTTTACATCACTACATTTGGGAGCAGGTACCTGTACGTTCTACTCCACTACACTTTGAACAGGACATAAAAGTAAGAGTATTTTTTATTATTGTTTGAAACCTGCTGAAAAGTTTCAGGATTTATTTTTATCAAGTTCATAAAGTGAGCAAATGTAATATACAAAAATTTAGCATGAAATACTTTTACTTTTTACTCTTTAAATACACTTTAAACTGGGTACGTTATTAATACTTTTACTTAAATAGGCAAATTTTCCATGTGATACTTTTACTTGAGTTTCTTTTTTTTTTTTTTTTTTAATGCTCGTTATGTGCAGTTTTATGTAAGTGACAAAAGTGACTACTCTTTATGCCACTGACCAGAACTAAACCAGAACTAAACCAAGATTATATCAGGTCTAAATGAAGACAGTGACCTAATGGCCGCTAGACTGTACATGGGGACTAATGATGTTCACGGGTCAATCATTCCCTCACCAAACAAGCGGTCACATCCAACACTTGACAGCCAATTGCTGAGACATTTCCATTATTTCTAGAGCCAATCAAATAGTCCATTCAATCTTTTGACAGGCCAATTGCAGCCCGAGCTGCCCTCTATGTCCTGCCTCCGTGGCGTGGGCATTTAAATCCTGTTGACAGGTGGACACACTGTCATATGGTCAGTGGCATAACAGGTGAAATATGGTCATACGGTTAATAGCACTAACTATAACTAATTAACAAATAATACATATCACTTAATTTGCATGAAATGGGCACTAATTGGTTCTCATGTATACTGTATAAACACAGAATAGAATAGTAATAATTAGCTTTCTGTAAATCACTGGTGATTTTGGATTTATTTCTGTGTAAGTCAGAATTTGCTTCTGTATACTCTGTTAATATTTACTATATACTTCCTCCACCACTGCTCTTAGTGGTCTATGTGTCAGAACACGTTAAAAAAATACTTTTACTTTTTACACTCTACTTTTTCTTGAGTATCTCTTTGACCTGGTATCTGTATGTTTACTTAAAGATGCATTGTGCAACATTTCTGATGGAGTGTACACCACCTTTTTTGCCTTTAGGGAGATGCTATTGCTTTGCTTGGTATGTTCCACAATATGGCAAGTTTAATGCAGTATTGTCAAACATGGAGACTAGCATATGGCGTACCCTCCCCCAAGAAAAGTTTCACAATGCACTTTTAAGTAACAAAACTAAGTACTTCTTCCACCACTGTTGTCATCTGCAGCTGCATCTCCTCTCGTCTACCCAGTGATCTACAGAGCCTGTTCTTCGGGGGAGACCCTGAGCCGAGTGTCTCATATTTGCACCATGACTCACCAGCGCCTGAACTCTGCAGGATATTTATGATGGGTGTTACCATGGAGATGAAGAGAAGGAAGCAACATCTTTTGGTTCGGTGTTTTTTTTTAGTTATGACGTCCCAGAGTTTCCTGCAAAAGTGTGAAGAGGGGAAACGTCTTCTCTTGTGTTTATCTGAATTGTTTTGAGGTTGTTATGCTGACGGGTGCGAAAATAGACCACAACATTTTAATAATGAGAGGAGGTTACGACAAACGCTGAAAAAAATATACAGATTAAAAAATTTTTTTTCATTTTATTTTATTAGTTAAACACACTGATAATTTATTATTTTCTTTTGTTTAGTTTTTTTTTTTTTTTTCAGTTTTTAAATTAAAGATGCACTGTGCAACTTTTCTTATGGTGGGTCTGCCATTAACTTGTCTCTTGGAGATGTTATTGCTTTGCCTGGGATGTTCCACAGTATGGCATTAAACAAATACTAGTATATCTTGAGGTTCTTTTTTCCAGACCAAGAGTTTGTTTTCATGCACACAAAAACAACAAAATGCAAAACAGAACTGGAACAACTCAAATCAGCCATTTCTGACCACTGTAAAAGAGAGAACCACATTATGGACCATGATGGAGCAAACATCATTGGACAGAGGACAACAAACATCATTAAAGAGGCAATCGAAATACAGAAATGCGTTCACGGGACTATAAACCGGGATGAGGGGGCCTTTTTTACTGTCACACACCTGAGGTACTGTACTGAAGAAGATGGACTGCAGATTCCATCAGTGCGAAGACAGCGCTAAAACCTGTGAAAATCAGCTGTCCGAACACGTCACAGCAACATCACGTGACCACTCTGAGGAAGCGCGCTAGTGAGCTGTCGAAACTGTCAGGTATGAAAACAAACCCTTGGTCTGAAAAAAGAACCTAATAACATAAATTATCGGAAGACCAAAGAAACCTCATTTGATCACTAGTATATCTTGTATCTATTTAATTACGGGTGTTCTTATTTCTTTGAAACTACAGTAAAAATGTGCATTATCACTGTAAATGAACCCACTTCTCTCCAAGTGTAATCTGTAACTTGGCCTTGTGATATGGCCTGCTTGTCTCCATGGAGATAGTTAAATTGAAGACCATATTGTGGAACATTCGAGGAAAAACATTAACATCTACATGTGGTCAGACAGGTGGTGAACCCTCTACCAGAAAAGAAACACAATGCACAAAAGCAAAAGAAAAACCCTCCCACACCCTTCCTCTCTCTCAACACTCAACATATACACAAGACTACAACTGGGTCCATAAACATTGATTCTAGAAGTTTTGACTAGATTTGATCTAGTTAGAGTACACTAAATCCACTTTTTCACTACTTATCTGTGTGTTTTCATAACATTATGTACTGTTCTATGTCATTTATTGGAAATTGTAATGCAAACTAGGTCAGTTTTGTGGTATAAAACGGAGTGAAATACATTTTTGGTTGTTTACACTAGAAATAAATAAAAGACTAAAAGAATACATTTTCTGTTTGTGTTTGTACAACCAAAAAAAAAAATTTTTTTAAATTAAAAATTGGGCAACTCAACAGTATAGTCACAACATAACCACATCAATTTAATTTAATCAATACCACACATTTATATTCACTTACAGCAATTTTATGTACAGTTTATGTTTATAGACTGAGTGTGCTTGCAGTGCACCCCTTTCCCTTGAAAAACACTTCAGTGCACAATGGTTGTGGTGGTAGAAAGTCTGCCACAAGCTTGTCTCCATGGAGATGTACTGGTTTTCAAGGTTACTTTTCCCGTAAACACATTTGGCCTCTGCATTTGACCCATCCTTCAGTGTCTCTGCTTTAAACCTGGCAGGAGCAGTGGACCATCTCCAGATCTTGAGCTAGTCTTTGCCAGGACTACTTTACAGCTGCCTGAATGTACCACAGTTTGGCAATAAACTTATCTAATAAAATACTGTCCTAGATAGATACGTTTAATGCTCTACTGTGGAACATTAATCTAGACAAAGCAATCACTGCAAGTCCTTCACCAGAATAGTTACATAATGCACCCAAGCACTCAAACCATCTCTGCCACAGACTGACAATTTAATCAAAACTGCCCAGATCAAGATTGATAATTTAATTGAGACTGTAATTGTATGTATAAAGTGTACAAAAGGCCTATTATAATAAACTTTATTATGTTAAATCAACTGGCAGATTTACACTGTAGAATCTCACTGAAGGCTTCTAAACTATAAATGAACACAATATATATATAGACACACACACACACACACTCACTTTGCAAGTACGACGGTGTGTGGGATTCGTCTCTGTTCATGTTTTTGGACTCTCTCTCCTCCAACACTCCTGTTTCAAGAAATGTAAATTTAATGTCCACCTTTTGGTTTCAGCCCAGTTTTGCATTTTTGAACATTTCCTGACCATGACAAGGCACAGCTGTGAAGTGAAAACCATTCTTCACTGAGAAAGCCAAAATGTTGAAAGTAGTAACACAAAGAGAAGAACTTTGAATGAGAAGGTGTGTCCAAACTTTTGACTAATACTATGCGCATGAATATTTGAAATACCACAATGTATATCTTGTAGTTTTGAATAATCCCAGAGGATGGAGCCAAAATTCCCCCAAAACAAATTTTAACCTTGACGCACTTTCTCTGCGACGCCGGGACCTGACAGCTCTGACGTCACCTCTCCGCGCCTGTCACTCCTCGGAGCAGGATCCATCATGGCGTCGGGAGCAGGACAGTCGTCCTCTGGGCACGATGCTGAACTGGACGAATTATTGGACAGTAAGCGTTGATATTTAGTTTATAAAATGCTCTGCTGAGTGCCTGCATTTGTGCCTAATTTTACTTTGGAGATTTTGCTGCTCTTTCGGCTCTGGGACATTTGGTACTCTGCTTCACTAATGACAAGTGTAGTCATCGATTTTTGCATTCAGCTCGTGCAAAAAGTTATCAGTTCTGCGTGTTTTATATAACCTATTTTTTTAGGAATATCCGTGAGAGCGAATAGTTTGACTCTCCTTTAATAACTGACTAATAAACTCATAAATCTTTAAACATGGTATAGTTACAGAGATCAACTCCTTCAAAGCTTCAAAGCACAACTGGAATTCGCTGTTGTGGGCTGAAAAGCGAGTCATGCTTGTTTCCAGAGTGTAAATTTTAACTAATCCAATAGATTTGCTTAGGCCAGGGTACTCGTAACGTGTTTTGTTCTGGGATTTGGAGAAGAAACTCGTGTGATATAGTTGTGAGTGATAACTGGGCTAGTGGGTTTGTTATTGTGATGTCCTCTGTGTAAACAAAGATCTATGAAATCGGGCCAGAGGTCATTTGGTTTACAGATTCATCCAGTTGTTCCAGAAGGTCAGATGTGGCAAAAAGGGGTGGGGTCACTGTACCAAAGAGTGAATTGTTCCGTCGGTGCATCCTGAAATGAAATAGTTCCTTTATCTGTGACCAAAAAATGACAAATAGTATGTATTCATAATATTAGTTTTTCTTATGATGGACAGATTAAATGTAGAAAATGTGCAACAAACAATGGCAACAAAAAATAATGGCACCCTTTATCATTATTATTAGTTTGTACGACCATAACGAAAACAATAAAATCCTTACATTTTTTTCATTCTCATTGTGGTTTATTTTGTATGCTCATAAACAATAAACTTTTGTGGTTTTGTTAACATTATTCTTAATTTAGTTAAAAAATGAAGGTAAGAACTAAGAAAAAAAGTGATTGCATTTCTGTTAGAGGGGTTAGTGTTTGTAACAATCTGAGTGCAAAGTCTAAGTCTAGAAACAAAGTCTTAACACTGTAAAAGCCTTCAAAAAAAGAGTATAAAGTGTTATGTTTTGAAAGATCTCTGGAATTAATGAATTATGCATTAAATTTGTCTTTGTTTGTTTTAATTTATATCTTGTCTCTTATATATACAGTAAGTCGTAAGTGAAATTGTTAATGGAAATTTGCTGTTCATATGCTGCTTTTCTTTCTTGGAATTCTGTCATTGTATATGGGTTACACGGTTCGGCATTATAAGTACTTTTACTTCAACCTAAACCCTTTCAGGCATGATCCATGGGGTTGTAGTCATTGTTTTGTTATGTTTTATGTGTTTATTGCTGCAAAATGACTGAATAAACTACTGCTACTACTAATATGAGTCAGATTGACATGATATATTGGTAGTTCTTGTAGATAGGTAGGGTATAAGTGCAGTATTTATTGGGGCTGTCTATTGGTTGTTTCGTGCCCCTCTAACACCTATTGTCATTTTTTAAAGTGGGATTTAGTGTATTATTAATCAAGTAAGAAATATGGATACTTTCATAGCATTTGTGTCGTTTGTTGATTTGTTAATCCCTTTTGTTTTGTTATTTAGTTTGAAAACTTACTTAGCAATATGACTTCACCTTGGCACATGTTTTGTCCGCTAGCAGCAAACACTCTTCAGAGCTTCAGAAAGAATAGGGATGCACCAATTCAGCTTTTTCAGTTGTGATAACATTAATGATACTTAACGTAAAGTATTAGCAGGTGGTACCCAATTCTTACTAACTAATAGCAGCGCAGAGACTGAAAATAGAATGTATTTGCTTGACTCAATTAACTATTAACAGTTCAAAATATTTGTTAACTATGATTCATATTTATATAATCACAGAAAGGTTTTTATGAATAAATAATGGCCCAAGATACAACAGGATGTCATCTTATTTCTTGGAACCAACTTTTAATATTTTTTTTTGGATTAATTTGATTCTAGTATGGTTTTTATCAACTGTAAATGATAATTAAATGTAAATGATGACAAATTCTTCTCTCAGGTGCGTTGGATGACTTCGACAAAGCAGCAGCTCCTCCCCCAGCTTCAGCTGCCTCCGCTTCAGCAGCCAGTGGAGCTGAAAAGGTAATGATCAAAAACAACTACAATGGTTAGATTAACATAGAAGAAGATAACATTCACAACATCACCATTGTTATAGAAATAATTAGTACAGGCACCAAAAGCTGTGTAAAAACACCTTTAAGAGAAATTACTTTTATGTTACTCAACAGTACAAAATACAGTGATAACAAACAAACGGAATTGCAGTAAAACTTTGAATTAATAGTAGTACAATTGTGTAGAAAAATATTAGGAACTTATTTGACATTCTTTCTTTTAATGTTATTTTTACTAGTTTTCAAATATACAAAAAGTACTCAATATGGTAATTTTGTATACCTCTAAAACAGCAATTGTAATATATTTTTATATGCATATCTCCTACCTATGACATCAAATAAAAGTAAATGAAATATAAATATAAGAAATCTTGTGGAAAGAATACACTAGCTTCGACATCACTTCCTAAAATGAGCAAAACAGTGATTGTCTTGAATGCTTGTGTGTGCATTATTTGTACTGTACATAGAGGTCAACAGCAGTAAACAGGAATAATGTGGAAACCCATTGTTCAGTTGTGTCAGAGCTAATTCTAGCATTAACTGTCTCTGCACAGCCTTTTATTCTAATACAAGTTTTATCCAGATATTTCTACGTTTAAATTTAATGTTTTAAAAGCTGGATTCACAGTCACGGTAGAAACAAGGGAAATGAAAATGTAGGTTGTGTGGTGTAAGGTTTGTCAGAAATCTCAAAAAATCTACTTTTATCCAGTTTAGCTCAAATTGATACCTTTGGTTGGTTTGATTTTCACCTAGATTATGTCTTATTTAAATGTACTATAGTCCTACTTTAAACTTGTCCTGGTTAAGACTTAGTTAAACCATATTAAGGATTAGTTCAAAGTTCTGGGTTGATCTATAAGTGTTAATTAATTCAGAAAATTTGCTTAAGCCAGTATAGCTGTAGGTTGTAGGTAATGAATTTACAGTTCAGTTTCCCACTAACTTACATTTCTTTATTAGTAAATAGTTTTTGCATGGAATTGTATGCAGGTGTAGTCTTGTGAGAGGTGTTTGGGTCAGATATATACAGGTACATAATATTTTTGAGAGCTTTTGCTGCACGCTCTTTTTAGTTGGCTAATGATTGGTAAGCATGTCTTAAGTCGACTATAGCCCTACAAACCAGGGAATTTCTAACATGTTTTCTTATGGGGTTTAGAGAAACTTCATCTAATAGTATTAACTTGTTAACAATAATTTCTCACATGTTTAAGGAATATTCATTTACTATAATGCAAGCTGTTCATAATCTTGTTTGAATTCCTCTTGTGTGCAGCCTCCGCTTCTTGAAGACTGTAAGCTGTTTGAGACTCTTTTCGAGGGGGAGATGGCGAACCAGGCGCGAGAGGAGTGGGAGAAGGCCATGAGTGAACTGGCCCAACAGGAGCCAGAGCTGCTCGAGCATTTTCAGAAACTGTCAGAGGCTGCAGGGAAAGTCGGTACGTTTACATTAGATCTATATTGGTGGTTTGGCATTTTTGTAATGAATCCTTTTAGCTAACACCAGACGTGTCTTGGATATCTATGTTTTGATTAAAGGTCTTATATAATGCAAAATGGACTCTCATGAGCTTTAAGCCATGTTATAACATACTTGGAGATCTGTTTTGTTTCATTCACACATTTGAGTAACACTTTATTATTAGTCTGTCTACATCTCCAAAGCTCAAAATGCTCCTTGTGATGTCATGTAGTGATAGTTTTCAAGTTTACAGTTTTATCTTTAGTTCAGTAGAAAGAGGCGATACTAGGGCTGAAATCGTGCTCTCACTGTGTCTCACTGTGTCTCACTGTGTCTCACTGTGTCTCACTGTGTCTGTCTGTGTCTGTCTCTGTCTGTCTCTGTCTGTCTCTGTCTGTCTCTGTCTCAAAAAAAGTTTTGCAACCAACAGTCTTTCTAATCAGCCTATTTCTACAACGTTTGTTTTTTTAACAGGCACAGACACCGCCTCTCAGCAAGAATTCACCTCATGCCTAAAAGATACACTCAAGGGACTGGCCAAAAATGCAGACAACCTCCAGGTGTGTGTGTGTGTATGTGTGTGTGTGTTTGTGTGTGGAGTGATAATATTTGCACTGTTATTTTTAAATGACATTGTCATTAAATAACAGAAATATTAACACAAAGAAACTCAGAAGGCAGAATTCAAGGTTTTTACTCGCGGCGAGGGACAGAGGCGCTGCTACAGCTCTTAACTGCCGAAGAACCACCGTCCAACATCACGTATTTATTGAATCACACAGGTTACCAGAATGAATGGGTGGTTACATTTTTCTAGCACAGTAAAAAAAAGGTGTGTGTGCGTGTGTGCGTGCGCGCGTGCGCGTGCGTTTGCGCGCGTGTGCGCCAGCTGCTGAGGTGTAGGTAGGGATGTGCGTAGGGAGGACTGTCCTTGCGGAAGATAACGGCTAATGGGAAGTTGGTTTTCCCGTGAGAAATACACTTTGAGAAATACCCTTTGATAAAATAAGACAAAGAATCATCTATGCAGCATTTGAAAAACTCTTTAACAGACATTTACAAATGTTTATTTTGTGTTTAGACGTCGGGTTTGGCTGGAGAAGACCTGGTCAAGGCTCTGGAGGGTCTGGCGTTAGAAGAAGGAGGCGAAGGAGGAGACGACGGTAATATTCTTCCCATAATGCAATCCTTCATGCAGAATCTACTGTCCAAAGAAGTCCTGTACCCATCACTCAAAGAGATCACCACCAAGGTAAGTTCTGCTCAACAAGTGAGGGGCTAGTACTGTCATCTCACAGCAAGAAGGGCCCAGGTTTGACTCCCGGGCTTTTCTATGTGGAGTTTGCATGTTCTCCTTGTGTCTGGGTTGGTCTCCTTCAGGCAGCATGATTTTTCTCCACCATCCAAAAACAAGCACAATATAAAATCCTCCAGCTGAGGTAGTCCTGACCAAAACTAGGTGAAGATCTGGAGATGGGTTCCACTGCTCCTGACAGGTTTAACCCAGAGACACTGAAGGATGGGTCAAATGCAGAGGCCAAATTTCCATACAGGGACTATAAACTGAACCATTGCCTTATATTTAATTAAACCGCCTTTTTTTTTTTTTTTTTTCAGTAAACTAATTGTTTTATTAGGATTATGACACTTTTGTTTTAGTGGGTTTAGTAACAAAAAACTGAAGCTTAAAGGTGCATTGTATAACTTTGTGCTTTGTCATTGCTTTATCTGGATTGTTTCATAGTGTGACATTAAACAGCTCTACCTTACATTTATACAATTACAGGTGGTTTTATAGCTCAAAAATACCTAGAAAAATAGGCATTCTGACTGTGAGCTGGCCGCCTCTCCACAGATCTGACCTGTAACTTGGTCTCCATGAAGATAGAAAGGTTTAATCCCATACTGTGAAACATTCCAGATAAAGCAACAACGTCCCCATGGAGAAAAACATTTGACGAACCCTTCATCAGAAAAGTTACACAATGCACCTTTGCTGTTATTTGAAGCACAGTAGTTACACAGTGGTTGTAATTTTTTTCTTTAACAGTATCCTGAATGGTTGGAAACAAATAAATCGAACCCTGAGCTCTGAGGATTTCCAGCGCTATGAGCAGCAAGCCACAATCATGGGAGACATTTGTAAACTGTTTGAGAAGGAGGAGGAGGGAGCGTCCGATAAAGAGAGGACCTTTGAGACCATCATGGACCTAATGCAGAAGGTGAAATTTAAGTTTAACACAATACGCTCTTTTAAAGACATTTTATTTGTTGGAAGAACAGAGATATAGCTTAACACATAACAACGTAGGAAATGTGAGTCGTAGTGGATCTTCAGTTTCTCGGGAGGTCGAATGTCAAATCATCTACAGGACAGGGAAAAGCACAGCAACAATCACACAAATGTACATAACACAAATGTACCAAACACTCACTATACATACAATTCACTTCAGACAGTTCATTTGAAGTTTGAAGTCAAGAGTTAAGAGTCATTTTATTAAACACGGTGACATATTTGACCTTTGAGCAACAACGTTTGATTTTGATGCTCTGGAATAGACTCGATACGCAATACCATAACACGATACCACAATGATAATAAAACACTCTTTATTTAGACAATGGAATGTGATTTTCAACATTAAATGGTAGTACTTTCTTTTTTATTCCCATGTGGTTTTATATGTGTGTAATCCCTCAATGGTCCATGTAGGTTCCATAGTGGTCCATGGGCGTATACTAGTCTATATACTAGACTCTATGGGTGTATACTATTACTATGTGCTCTTATACTTGTTCTGATACAGCTCAAGATCATTCTAAAGACATTCAGAAAAGTGTAATTATTTTTTTTTTTTGTATCAGTACCTGCTCAAATGAGTAATTTTGATGAATAATTATTATGTAATTCTCCTGTTTAGTCATGAATACTTAATTAACTTCTTTGTGCAGTTTATTTTACTCATACTAGAGGACTTTTCCTTTATATGGCAGCATATATTTTTTCTATTTTTTCATTTCATGTGTTATTCAAGACTTATAAATATTTGAATCTTGTGTTTTTTCACCCATAGCTGCAGGAGCTTGGTCAGCCTCCCAAAGAGCTTGCAGGAGATGCGGTAAGTTTCTGTGCTATGATGTTGTTTGGCTGAACCTCAGAATGCACTGATGCCAGATTTGGACCCCTAGGAGCAGCAGATGTGCATATTCTAACATGAATAAATAAAGTTCTAGACAAAAAGGCTTTGACAAAAAAAACAACACATAAAGATCTGGAACTGTATCCTGTCTCTGCTATTTCCGTGATTGATGGAAATTGACAGACGTGAACCAATCAGAGAAACGCATTGGCCCACTGATGTCAAAATATCAACAAAAGAAACAAAAAACACAACCTAAACTAAAGAAGTTATAGATATAGTTTCGAATGATCTGTGATTTTTCAAGAGAGGTCTTCTGCATTTGGGAGACTCTGTGGTTGGCCTGTTTTTTTGATTGATTATATTAAACTTTGACATGAATTATCCAAAAGGTAAAAGGTTTGACTCTTTTTATGGTCCAGCTCCAGGCTCTTCTGCATTCAAACAGGATGTAGGAGAGACTGACTCACCAGGCATCTTATGTAGCAGTTTGAGAATAAAACCAGACCAATCCTCTGTAGAAAAGATATGTTTTTTTTTTCTTCACCTGTCTCTCTTTTCCTTCAGCCTCCCGGTCTAAACTTCGATATGGAGTCTCTGAACCTCCCTGGAGGACCAGCAGGGGGCCCTGATCAGTGTTCGGTCATGTGACTTGGTTTCACCTCGGACTAAATCACTGGAGTAAAAGTCCCTCACTGAGAAACTACAGAAGAAGAGAAGAGGAGACAGGCCGTGGTTTCTGAGACTGGAGCCCTTAAAGGTTTAAATCACAAGGCCAAAAGAGAAGTTACAGGAGCGGACACTACACTACACCAATGCTCTGTCCACACGTTTAAAGGTATTTTACGTGTAAATAAGCCAGCAGGAGGTGCAAGGACCCCAGCTGCAGCTGTTTTGATGAGTAAAGCGATTTAAATAAGGCTAACAAATATTGCTGCTAACAATCTGGTGGGATAACATAAACTAAAAAACATTGCTAAATGTACGGTACTAAAAGCATACTAACATAGAATATTCTCATCTCAAACACAAGTGCTGCCAGTTCAAAATTGTAAAGAGACATTGTTTTGCGGTTATGCTATTTGGACCTCTTTTACTCCTAAAGGTGCATTGTGTAACTTTTCTGGTAGGATGTTTTTCCCCATGGAGATGTTATTGCTTTATCTGGAAAGTTTCAGAGTATGGTATTAAAGCTTTCTATCTTCATGGAGACCAAACTAGACCATGTTACAGGTCAGATCTGTGGAGAGGCGACCCAGCTCACAGTCAGAATGCCTGTTTTTCTAGATATTTTTGAACTATAAAACCACCTGTAATTGTATAAATGTAAGGTAGAGATGTTTAATGTCACATGGAACTTTTCAGGCAGAGCAATGACATATCCATAGAACCAAGCAGGTGACGGAGCCCCAAACAAAAAGTTACACAGTGCACCTCTATGTGAGTACAGTCTAACTATGCAATTGACCAAATTACTGTAAAATAAGGACTACGATTGCAAAGAAGTCAAAATCCCAGTTTTAACTGTTGTAAGTGGACCTGTAATTATTTAAAGTAACATCATGTAACTTTTTAACTGCTGCATGACTCCATGGACATAAAACCTTCAAACCATAATTTGGAACATTCTTCTTAAAGATAGATACATTTCTTGCCTTACAATGGAACATTTTGGCAAAGCTATTTAATGTCCATGGTGACAATCAAACCAAATTTGAGTCTATTTTATGGAGATGCAAGTCAGCTCACAGTAAAGATACATGTTTTTTTTTTTCAAGATTTAGCTAAAAAGTTACACAGTAAAGCTTTTTAAATAATATAAAAGTCTCTGCAAAAAATAAAGTATCCCCTCTCCATAGAGCCCTATAGTTTTTACCTGTTCGGATTCTTGTAGTCTAGTTTCATCTTCTATCAAATGTTATTGTTCCTTGTTTAAAATATGCACTAAATTAACTAATTTGCAAATGAACAACATAATGATACTAAAAATGATCCTTACTTTAATGAGACTCGCAATCTCAGTCCTAATAATCTGTTAAATTATTATAGTTGGGATGAATACCTGCCCGTGTGGACAGAGCTTGTAACTGCACTGCTTGTACTGTGAACATGACACCAGTGTATTTTTGAACTGCGTGGAGGGGCTGAAGTTCATTCATGGCTTGGTTGGTTTTAACTGGACTTTTCCATAGATGCTTGCTTAGCACTGCCCTACGAAGTTTTCTTTTCTGTTTTTACAATACACTTTAGCCTCTTTGAATACAATACTAAATAAACCGGTAAACAGGTAACTGCTGTGCCTTTCACAATAAAACAACCTCAGAGACATTTAGAGACTCCCTAAAATTTCAACATTTGTCTGGGAGTGGGACATGACGTTCTGCTGTAACCATAAAAACCCCAACAACCCCCTTTTAACAGTGTTTTCAGAATTCACCTGAGCTGTCAGATCTAAAAAAAACAGACATTATGACAAGACAGAGCAAATTTAGACTTAGAATTACAACAAAAATACATGAAGTTTTTCTTTTATTTGTCCAAAATGTATTTATATTAAAAGGAGGCCCATGTAATTCCCAGATTTCTGTCGATGGGTTAGCAATGATGATTTTTGTCAATATATTTTTTCACAATCAGGTTAAGGTTAAGGTTAGCGTCAGGGTTAGGTTAGCAACAAGTAAGTTTAGAGTTTTTGTGATAGGTCTGCTAACCAAGTCTGAGCTGTAATTTTTAGACATAAGAACATTATAAGTAAATAAATACAGTTAACTAATACCGTCAATATCCCCGAACCTTAAAATGTACTGTAATTATGTCTGTTGATTATGAAATGAACTCCACAGAAAAATAGCACACAGCAGTTAATTGGCTTTGATCACTAAGCTAAGATAAGCCCCACCCCCGGACGAAATGCCGAGAATTTAGGGTTTAGGATCCTGATACATTAGGGTTAGTGTGAGCTGAACTGAAACTACTGTAGTGGGGAGTTTTGATTTGAAAGTGAGCTTGGGCTGCACATTGTTATGGATGCATGCCATATAGAATACATAGATCATTCCCTTTTACGTAACTATAAAACAGCGGTTGAATTGAATTGTTTTGGGAGAACTTTGGGGAGAGTAACGTGGTGGGACTGTGTCATTCATTTTCTTTCAAATTTGTGCAATGAAAATTAATACATAAGTTTCAGGTAATTTAAGCAATTCCTTTAAAGTGGGACTAAACACCAAAAGTCCGTTTCAAACGGAGCTGCTAATGAGGAGGTATAAGGAGCAGTGTGATTGGTCTAACAGGTATCCACACTTCAAACTCCAGCCCAAACTTACATTTAGGAGTTTTTGACCAGAAAGCTGCAAACTGACCTCATCTGCAGTGAAGTTGCCAAAGAATCACTAGGAACAGTAGATCACGCTATTAAAACATCATATACACAGTTCGAAATAGTGGACTTGGTGTTTAGTTCCTCTTTAATGGTGCACTGCGTAACTTCTCAGGTTGAGGATCTGCTACCATAGAGGTGCTATTTTTTTGCCTGTAATGTTCCACAATATGGTATTAAACTATATCAGATGCATTTATACAATCGTGGGTGTTTTTATTGCTCAAAAATTCCTTTAAAAACATGCGTTCTGACTGTGAGTGGGGGTCGCCTCTTCGAAGATCGAACCTGTAAATTGGCCCGGTGGCATCTCCTGCTTGTTTCTATGGAGACTGCAAAGTTAAATATTGGAGGTAAAGCAGTAACATCTCCATGGAGACAAGTAATTGGCGGGCTGTCTACCAGAAAAATTACACAGTGCACCTTTAAGGCATTCACTCCAGCAAGAAAGGCGGAGGACAGATTTTCCAATGAATTTTTTTTCTATTAACAAAATGCAATGTTTTTTTTTGTTTTTAATTTTAATTTATGCAGATAAAATGAGTAATAATAATTTTAAATGTGTGGATCTGTTTATTGTCACTATAATGTGCAGCCCTGTGTTTTGAATTTGCAGTTCCATAGCACCTCCATGTTTACATAGTCTATGATCTGAGTGTGATTTTGCCCCCACCTTATCATTTGTACATAATGTAGTAGCTATAGTCAAAAAAAAAAAAAGCTTGTAAATACACAAATAAAAGAGTGTACATTTGTTGAATAATTAAATAATTGTCCAAAGTGAATGTGATTCACGGTTCATTAATGTTGCAGCAACAATAAAATCATGTTATTGCCAGTTTTTAAGCCAAAGCACAGTGTTTTTTTCTGTGTAACATGATGAGCCATACATTCAGCTGTATGAAATTTATAAATGAAAAATGTCCAGGTTTAGTTATGGTCCAGTCCAAGGATAGATCTAGTTTGGTCCATGTTTTAAGCCCCCATGTTACGCTATTTTCTGTTTATATAATGGGCATTTTTTTGTTTTTTGTTTGAGAATTTGTTTTTTTTGTTTGAGAATTGTTGTGATTTCCTAATTTGGCTGTTTTTTTTTTCAGTTATGATCTTTCCTCATCACAAACAGACCTGGAGTTGTGTTTTGTTTCATTCTCACATGTTTAACACTCAAACCCTGCAGATTTAAACTGAAGTCTCTTGAAGAGAAAACACTGCTCCACCTTGTGATGTAGTAATACAGGAAGCGCACCACTGTTTTTTTTTTAACTCCATGTGCCTTCACTAAAATCATTTGGATCATTTCAGACCTGGGATTGCCAATCTTTACTGAACAAAAGGTAAAAAGTAGCTGTTAAACTGAAAACTACCGCTTCATGACAACACAAGGTGGAACAGAGCATTTTGAGCTTTGGAGATCTAGACAGACTAATAGTAAAGGTTTACTCAAACATGTGAATGAAACAAAACAACTCCAGGTGTGTTTTTGAGGAGGTAGCAACATTATAACATGACTTAAAGCTCACATGTCAAATTTGTGTAATATAGGACCTTTAAACATTAGTGCCTCTAGAATATTGTGATACCATGTAAACCCAACCACTAGACCACCTAGTATAAAATCCTGCTCTGTCCCTTTAAACATATTGAGTTATTTTTGCCAGATGCCTCTGCAGTCCTTTGTCGATCATTATAGTGTAGGGTTACTAAACAAATTACTTCCTATTTCTGTCTATCGTATGGCCCATGTTTTCTTTAGGTGGAGTGTTTGTAACTTGATTGCAGCTTGAGTGATTAGCCCTTACCTTCCATTTAATGTACATTATGTTAGTTTCCAGAGTGGCTGCAGTCACATGGGAGCAATTCAGTTGAAACTAGGCCCTTATGTCTAATGTAAATATAGTTGTGCAAGGCTGTGGGCTCTGGCTTTCATTCAAGCCCTGGTTTAGTTCTGGTTTATATCTGGTTTATATCTGGTTTAGACCTAGTTTAGTCAGTCTGTCCTGGTTTTATCCTAGTAAATCCTACTTACTGATTTGTACTAGTTAATCTATCTTGGTTTAAATCTAAACTATCTTTCTCTGTATTTCATTTTCCCTACAGATTATAATTCTTGCAACGGTGTGGAATGATGACTCAAATATTCCCTTCAAAATTATTTATTCCAAATAAATACAGACACCACAATGAATTAACAGAAAATACTACTTTTTAAACAAATAAGGGGTAATAAAATAAAATAAAAATAAATTAAAAAAAGATACACAAACAACACACTGTAAACCCAAACATTCAAAATAATTGAATAGATTAAAAACACAGTGGAGCACTTCCTGTATAAACACATGACATCACAAGGTGGAACAGAGTGTTTTCTGTTTGACAGAAGAACTCCATTGCGTGGTTGTGTTTAAAGTGGTGTTAGAGCTCTTGTTCATTAATTTTGTAGACTCTCAGGTTAAAGATGCACTACGTAACATTTTGTCACCTGCTTTTCTCCATGATGTTATCAAAGGGTACAGTCCCATCCAATTATCAGAAAATAACCTGTTTCTCAACAACATGAGCACAGAACCTTCACACCAACCTGTGCACTGCCTGGATTGATTACAAGAAAGTCTATGACTCAACAGGACTCTAAGGGCCTTCATTGCAAACTCAATGCAGTTGTGGAAAACCACCCTTGAAACCAACGGGAAGCCACTTGCACAAGTGTCCATCAAATGTGGCATATACCAAGGAGACTCACTGTCCCCACTTCTGTTCTGCATAGATCTGAACCCCCTCAGCCAAATCATCAACCTCACTGGCTACAGCTACCGACTCAGAAATGGGGCCACCAACAGTCACCTCCTATACATGAATGACATCAAGCTGTACGCTAAGAGCAAGAGGGACATTTAGTCACTGATTTACACCACTAGGATCTACAGCACAGACATCGGAATGTCATTAGGGCTTGAGAAATGTGGTAGGATGGTGACAAAGAGAGGGAAGGTAGTCCACACAGAGGGTGTCTCACTCCCAGAGGGAACAATAGCAGACACAGAGGACACTTACAAGTACCTTGGTATCCCACAAGAAAATGGCAATCTCCAAGAGGTAACAAGGAAAGCGGCTATGGGCAAATACCTGCAATGAGTGAGACAAGTCCTGAGAAGCCAGCTCAATGGCAAGAACAAGGCACAGGCAATAAACAGCTACGCCCTGCCAGTGATGAGATACCCAGCAGGAGTCATAAGCTGGCCAAAGGAGGAGATACAGACCACAGATGTTAAGACACGAAAGCTCCTGACCATGCATGGACGCTTCCATCCCAAATCCAGCACCCTGAGACTGTACACGAGCTGGAAGAAAGGAGGCTGAGTACTAGTGAGTGTGGGAACTACTGTCCAGGATGAAACATTTAAGATCCACGAGTACATCAAGGACAAGGCCCTGACATATGACGAGCTCAGAGAATGTCTCAGACAGTGGGGTCCAGAGGAGAAGGTGCTGGAGGGAGCATCATGGCAGGACAAGCTACTACATGGGGCGTACCACTGGAACATAACTGAAGTGGCTGATATCAAGAAATCCTACCAATGGCCTGAGAGGGCTGATCTGAAGGACAGCACAGAGGCACTCATCTTGGAGCACAAGAGCAGGCCCTGAGCACTCGAGGAATAGAGGCCCAGATCTACCACACCAGACAATACCCACAGTGTAGACTGTGCAAAGAGGCTCCTGAGACAGTCCAGCACATAACTGCAGAATGTAAGATGCTGGCAAGGTCAAGGTGAAGGTGGGTAACACTTCCAAAGATTGTGGAGAATGACTTAGCCAAGATCCTGTGGGGCTTCCAGTTACAGACTGACAGGATAGTGATGGCGAACCAACCAGACATAGTGGTGGTGGATAAGCCAGGGGCTCAAGAAGGTACTGTTGCCCACCTTGATTCTGGGATCTCCAGCCCGTACTCTGTACAGATGTTTCTGGACACTATGCCCACCACACTTGGTTATCTCTCTCTCTCTCTCTCTCTCTCTCTCTCTCTCTCTCTCTCTCTCTCTCTCTCTCTCTCTCTCTCTCTCTCTCTCTCTCTCTCTCTCTCTATATATATATATATATATATATATATATATATATATATAGGCCCGGTCAAGCAGAAGTATACAGCAAGGCCAAAAATTCAAGTTAATGCATCTGATATAAAAATGTATTCAACAGATAGCATATGTACTCTAGTTGTTTACCTTTTTTCCATACCATTTTTGGTTCTAAAGTTACATACGTTTTAAACATACCATGTATGCAACATGGAACAAAAATTATTTCCCAAATTTTAAAGACCTGCAAATCATGTAAATAAATTGATGTATTTCATCATATCTTGTGTTATTCAATCTTTGAACTGTTGATGAAGGTGTGTGTGTGTGTGTGTGTGTGTGTGTGTGTGTGTGTGTGTGTGAAAATGTTATAATGATCTGCATCACGATATATTAAATAAATTATTGCAGCGTTCATTCAGCGTGCGAATTTTGTTTTGTTTTGTTTTATTTAATTAATAAATTTTTTATTTTTATTTTTTATTTTTTTGGTCACTGTGCGTAGCTTTCGTGGATCTTTCTGCGTCACCAAACCGGAAGTAAGAACCAGCGACGTGTCAGGAAAAGAAGAAGCTGCTAAATGGGCCAAGGAGGACGGGCCGCCTAGAGCTACAAATCTACAACATTTTCCACCTTTAATACCTTTGTGTGGACTTATATTTGAGAGAGTTACAAGGAGGAATTTTCTCCGTGACTATGCTTACCAAGTTTGAAACCAAATCGGCCCGTGTTAAAGGTAAGAACGAAGCTGTTAGCATTTGAGCTAGCAGCGGATTGAGTCAAATGTTACCCGCAAAATCCTCTTAAACAGCATTATTTAGGTATTTAGTGTAAGATATGTAGATAGATGTAGATTAAGATGTAATACGTGCCATTTAACTTCAAAGCAATGTGTAGATCATTGCAGTTTAATTGTCAGTTGCTGAAAAATGAAACAAAATGTGCAAAGAGCTATCTATTGCTAGTCAACTCTTTCACCAATTAACCTTAGCTAAAGATGAGCGACTTCGTGTCAGTTCTGCTGTTAAATATCATTATTTATTGTTTGATTTGTCTTTTTTTAGGCCTCAGTTTCCACCCTAAAAGGCCCTGGGTTCTTGCGAGTTTGCACAATGGCGTGATCCAGCTGTGGGACTATCGTATGTGCACTCTCATTGACAAGTTCGACGAGCACGATGGTAAGGAGGGGTTCTGACGTGGCTTTAACTAAACTCACTAAAATATGGTGAAATACATGTCTAAATGGTTGCTTTCTCTGTGGCTGAAGTACCATAATTTCATCCACAAATAACAAAATCTCCAGTCTTATTTAGGGTGACCAGATTTTCAAAATAAAATACAGGAACATCCCTGGTTTGGAGTGGTTTGGAAATAATAAAATTGTGAAACGAGCGTGTAATTAAGGAAAATTTTATCTGCAGTCGGCACATGTGAGGCAGTTTAGCCACGTTTTTGTATTTTGGTCATTTTTGGTCAATTTATTTACTGTTGGCATGTATCAAATTGGTCAAAAATAGGGACACCTGTGACATTTCTTGTATAAAACTGTCAGAACAGTCCCAGTTAAATAGGGATGCCTGGTCACACTAGTCTTATTCTGCATAAAAACTGTTAACCCTGTAGTTTCCATCTGTATAAACATGTTCTGAAATGGAATTTTATTAGTTTGTCAGTTTATATTTCAATCTTTATGTCAGGTCTTCAGGATGAATTTAAAATGTGAACTTTGAACATAATCCTATTATTACAGAAATCTCTAATTTAATC